CAGTCAGCAATCACCTCTGAGGCTATTTCAACTGGGGATGAGCTGTGGTTTTTTCCCTCTGTGGCTCTACACGGTTTTGTGTTAGGTTTTGGACAGACAGCCTCCTTCTGATTAGTGAGTAGACGGGCTTGTGGGCCCTGAGAGTGTCTCCCCGTGGTGAGGAGTAGGGTAGGAAGTGCCTCCCTTTTTGTTTAGTAGTCTTCTTGTCTTTTGTTGCTGTGAGTGTTTCCTTTGTTTCTTTGGCATTATTGGTAAAACGGCGTTGCCGGATCTTTAAGTTAATGTTGTGATGATGGCCGAAACACCCGATGAATCCAAGGTCGACTACTGACAATGTGTCCCAAAATCGTAGATCAGATCTCTAATCCCTAAACGTAACCAAGGAAGATAAAAAAGGAAAAATGGCAGAATAGCTTGTAATATAGGGCAGAACACCTTCCTCATAGCAGCCATCCCTCATAACCTTCTCCATTTGAAGCAATGCATTACCAGGGATTGTAACATCTAATCCTTTTATTGAATTGATGTTTTTTTTTTAAAACTGAATTTAACACCACCTAAAACGTATCACATTAAATTATACATCTGGATTATAAATCTGTTTTATTTTTTAGTCCAACATTTAGGAACTTTTAAACCCTCATGTGTTCTTCTGCTGACGTACTGTTTCTGGCAATTTCACAGTACATTAAAAATAACATTAAAAAAACTAAAGAAGACATTGAAGAAACACCCTACAGATATGTTATGATTGTTGATGTTGTACAATTTGTCCACCAGAGGGCACTCTGGTGTTACAAACAAAAGTTACAAACAACAACAACAATCTGATGCGAGCAATCAGGAAGTGTGTAAATGGATAATCCACAACTTGTTGTGATAACTAAAAACAGGATTATTTATAAACTATTACTTTATTATTATTGTTTTATTAAGGCCTAATTAAAAACTACACGTAAATATTAGGGCCGTCCATTTATGTTTAGTGTGTATGAAAGAAGAAAAATATTGGCTGACATATTTGATATTAAATATGATCAAATGTTGGTATCAGTCAGGCTTTAACTTTGTTTTTCATAAATCCGTAAAAACTAAATACTTTCTCCTATTTAACACTGTTCTGAATTGACCATCTCGGAAGTAATCACTGCGACTGCCAGAGCAGCAGCTATAGATTTGAACCTTTAAACATTTCAATATTTGTTGAACTTTCTGGCATAAATACATTACAACATGCTAACTTACCCAACAAGTGCATATGTCTTTCCATTAGCATCAGGGTCTCTGATAGCACTGATGATGGCCTTAGCCACATCCACCACCTGAAGGGGAAAGACGGTGCGTTTAGTTGATTTTGTTTACAGTTTTTGAAGCATTTAGTCAAAGAGTGGTGTGGTCATCCACAGTGTTTTGCAACCACATGGCCCAGTGATAAATTAGGTATGCAACAATGAATCAAACCAGTGGAGCCACTTAATCATAGCTGCAGTGGCAAGTGTGGCTCTCACAAAACAGCAGCCGTGATGGAAACCATTAGCCACACTCCAACAAAATACAAACAATAACTTTCAATTTTTTGTGTGTTATCTTAAAAGGGAAATAAACTGATAAAGCAGTTAATAAAATCAAGCACTGCTTAGCTTTTAAATCTTACATGAACAGGCTGCTTCACCGTCTTTTTCCCGAGGGCAATAAGAGGAATGGCATTTCCAAACCAGCGCATATCTGAGGAAGGTTTACATCACACAGTTACACCAATTATCACTCATCTTCAAAGATGAGGAACAACAGCTCTGTGTGAAATTAAAGAAAGGAAACACTGTAGCTAACATGCAGGACAAAAGAAACCGCAATTATAAAACTGTAATGAGCTTTTGCTGACATTTACACGACACAGAGGTACAGCCTTCTTACTTGCGTAATAGTTGAAGAATCTGTCCTCCCTCCCAAACATCTCAGAGGGCTTCATGATGATGGCATCGGGAAACTCTTCCCTTACTGCAGTCTCTCCCACAGCCTACAGTTAAAGAACGAGACACACAAAGATCTGTTAATAAACATTAATTATGAACTGTAATATAAATGTACCAAAATTTGCTTAAAATTTCAACAAACCCATTCAAAACATAGTTTGACTTTGACAAAAAGAGGTCCAGTCTGTATAGAAGCTGTTCCTGACCTTGTTCCTCAGGTATTTGGATGGGCTGCGGATGTCAGCGTTGAGGTGCGACATGTGGACGAACTTTGTGATGCCGGCTTCTCTGGCTGCCCTGGCAATCTGCTGTGGGATGGTAACATACACATCCTCGAAGCGAAAGTTCCTTCACAGAAAGAGGTGGAAAAACCTTAAATAGCCAACCTCAAAGGGAACTTTAGCACAAACCAGCTTCATGTGAACACCAGAGCCTTTTTCCAGGCAAATATACCTCGTCTCCCACTCTCTGCCCACCAGATTGATGACAACATTTGAGTTCTCCATAGCCTGTTTAATGGAGTCTTTGTTCCTGGCATCCCACTCCTTTAACACAATAAACAAAGACCAGGTGACTGTCATATCCACTGATGTTCTGCATTCATGGCCGTATGCACTTTAAAGAGTTTCTTCAAGAGAAATTTGCATCTATAAGCAGCTTACCAAAAAGAGGATTTGCCCAAGATCACCCATGGGCCTGAAGTGCATGAGGTCATACTGATCACAGCGATGAGGGATTATAATCTGAGACCCAATCCGACCTGAAAACACCACATGAAAACATTTTAACTTCCCCTAAACAGTGTGTACTCTGAAATCCAGCATTGCAGTATGTATATGTACTAGCTATTGAGCAAATGCACATTAATATCAGCATTTTCCCCACTTTTTCTCAACTCACCCAGCCTATTGACGACGTATCGTCCCAGGAAACCTGTGGCACCAAACACCGTGGCAGCTATTCCGCTAAAAGAGGAGCGTCCTCCTTTCCCTTTAGGGATGAGAGCATGATGCAGCTTCCTCTGCTGGACTGTGGTGACAGACGCAGCTGACAACAAGGCAGGGTAGGAGTTGCCTGCTAGGGGGAGTAGAAAGGCAAGTAGCAGTTGGATTTAATCACAAGGTGAGATGCAATCAGTTACAGACTTAATTGGAAAAGACCATAAAGCTGAATGATTGGCACTTCAAATCTGTAGTAAAGCTTACAATTTAGCCTCATTCATCTGGCAACCGAAAGCCACAATAGAGTGTGCATGGTATTACATATTAGAGTAATGCATTTTACTAAAGTTAAGTTAGTTTAATTTAAACACCACAGAATTTAGCCCAAAGTCCTTTACAAGCACTGTTAAACGTTTCCATAGCAAATCCTGATCACCTTTAGTTTTTAGGCAACAAGGGGCATTGACAGAAATGTATGTTATAATTATAATGTTGTTATAATAATGACTTCATTGAATTGGAGGCAAATTATGAAATTAAAAGACCTGTAAATTACTGTGAAGCTAACTCATAGATGGCTTTAAAAGTAAATAACATTTTGAAACATTTATTAAAAACGTCACAGGCAGCCAAAGCAGGGGAGCTAAAACAGAAGTGACGTGCTGTCTTCTCTTTCAAATTCAAATTCAAATTTTATTTGTCACGTACACAGTCATACACAGTACGATATGTAGTGAAATGCTTGGACAACTGCTCATGACCTAAAGAAAACAAAAAAGGAAAAGGCTATGAATAAGATAGGAAATAAATATGAAAAATTAAAAAGGGTAAATTTAACTAGGAAGGAATAAAATATAAATTAAGGTTAAAAATGAAATAACTGTACAACACAAATTAGAATGAAGGGTAAATTTAACTGGGAAGAATAAGATAAAATATATAAATTAAAGTTGAAAATAAAATAACTGTACAACAAAATACACAATATAGAACTATATAAGAATGTATGTACACAAAAACAGCAGTATATACACAATAACAGCAGCGTGATTTAAGTAATGAAGTGAAAACAATGTCCAGAAAGTCCAGTGTGTGTGCCGGTTAAGAGCCGAGCAGCTGCATTTTGAACCAATGTCAAACCAGAGAGTGGAAATGGGAAATCCTATATACGGGGAGGCTGCAGATGACAGAAGCGACAACATTGTCCTTGATTTCACACTGGTTCTCAGTTTGTAAATGCATGAAACTAAAAATGTCAGCTAATGTGAACTACAGGGCAGACTTGGGACTAAAGCTAGTTCCGTGTTTCTGTCCAGAATTATATATTTATACCATCCCACTTCGGCAGTTACTCTAAAGACAGCATCCAGTCTGTTAAGCAACAAAAATGTTTTTATTTTGCAGTAAAACAAAAAGAGAAACAGGAGATGCTAGCAGTCTGCGAAACATACGCTACAGCTGCACAGAGGAACCAGCTCGACCCAACATCATACTTCACGTCTTTGATATATTAATCCACAATGGGACGCAGTCGCCCAGATTCAGCAGTAGCTCTTGGTAAAATACTTAATTTTACTGTTCTTGTTTCCTACTAGCTACCTAGAGCTCTTGCTAGCGGGTGATTAGCCGAGCCCGTTAGCAAGGTCACCCGAGCCGAGTGTCCCGTCTCCGTGTGATCTTGTTATGGAATCGCACAAATGTAGGGATTGGCTATATGAATCTGTAAAGCATACATCTACACATGCTCTGGCGACAATTGTAATGGTACTCACCTGAAATCTTTGAAAGGACACTCGCAGGACGGCTAACCAGCACTACGGTCGCCATCTTCCCAACTACGGCAAACCCTGTCGGCCAAAATACGAGCGCTACCGCACGAAGAAGGCGTAAATACGACCATAATATACTGTATAAATATATATATTTACAGTATATTGTATAAAGAACCTTTGTTTTCTGGGCAGTTTGTCTTAATTTTAGCTTTTCCAGGCTTGGACTTGATATAACTTTATTTGTGTCTTTTTTATTATTTTGGTGCCAATAAAAACTAAGCACTAAAATAAATAACCACAAATTTATTCACACTTTCAGCTTTTTATTAGCATAAACTGATAAAACACTACTTATATAATTATACATTTCGATTAATGGTATTGTCTCGTTTCTGTTTTACTACTGAATTGTATATTCAAATATTTATTTGCTGTTTCGTTGTGGCCTCATGTCTGCCAACTTGATGGTTATTATACCTGTTAAGACGTTAATTTGCTGAGTATTACATCATGAAAATACGAATTACACCAATAACACATTAACTTAAAAGATTAATTAATGTACTAGTAGTGTAGTCCAAACTGTATGACGCTCACAAAGTGATGAACATGCCTCGTTTTTATCTCTGGTTGAATAAAAAGGATATATCAAACACATGGTTTCTGAAACAGCTTTTTTCTCGTCTTTTATTCCGTCATAAAAATGATTTATCAGGACTTTTATTTCAGCTACAATCCTTTATTTCAGCATATCTGCCTTCTTAGCGAACACAAAGCGAGGGCAATTTATCTGCAATTTATGTCAGATCTTTTATGGCGACTAAAAAACCCCAAAACAAAACAAACAAACAAACAAAAAACTAATAAAATGCAAGTTTTTTTTTTCAATTTCTTCTGTAACATTATATAAGATATAGGATCTTATAAAATAAAAAGGATCCTGGCAGGTTAAATCAAATTCGGGTAAGAATTCAGCAATTTCAGGTGTACACACACAATATTAAAGTGCAAGATTTCTAATACTGCAAGGCACAAACTATCAATAATAGGATTGTCTTTTTGTATCTAATATAAAAAATGTTGGTAATAACACAGACATACAAAATTTCTTCATACAGTAACAAGACAACAAGTAAAACCTTGTCTAAGTCCCCCACAAGTATCTGAAATATTTTCTCATAATATGGTCTGTGGTTGACATGTATAAGAAGTTACAGCTGAAACATACATTTATATATATATATATATATACAGTAAATTCTGTTACAAATCTTTAATGTTTGTTGAATTAAACTGTTAAACAAATATATTCCACAATAAACAGCGATAAAGTAATTAATAATCAGTATGTCATTGACTTCATACTATAATTAAAATGTACATGAGAAATATTTCTTGAATATCACAACTGAAAAAAGAAAACATTTGGCTCAGCCTTTATTGCACCACACAGTTCTTCAGATCTTTTTTTCTACAATGTTCTTTTCTTTTTACATCAGCTCATCTTTTCAATGCACAGCAAAGATTTTTGGGGTTCATAAACAGTAAGAGAGTTTATGCTGTACCATCTGTACATTGTTGTGTGGCAGACAGTTTGTGACACGTTTAGACAAACTAACAACTGCATCTCAACTTCATTCAAAAATGCAACTGGTTGATTGACTTCACTGTCATAAGAACTCAAAGATTCACCAAACAAATGATAATACACTACGACTGAATAGTTTAAACAATAAAAACGATGTCTGTCTTTGCTGTTGATTGTTGTTTCTACTCCATACATCAGTGTTTTCTACACGGCACGTGGAAACGGAGACGTTTTCTGTGTGTGAATCACACATTTCTGTTACTATCAGTGGTAACGTTTCACTGACTTTGTGAATGTGCAGGGTTTTCAAAATCAGCTTTCTCAATCGTGTTATTTGAATGTTCTCTGTTCCCATTTGTCATGATTGTAGCATATTTATCTCCGTTTGTTAGACAGCAGGTGACAAATCCTGAGATGGCTCCTGAATATCTTTCCTCTCTGTGTCATCTTCCTCTTGAGGTTTGATGATGATGTGTATGGGCCTTTCTCCGCTGCATTCCTGTTGCTTGGTATCTGTGGACAGCTTGCCTTCACGTTCACACACCTCCTCTTCTGCCGAGGCCCCAATGGGACGCAGACGCTCTGCGGGAGCCATCTTTGTTCCGGTTTCTGAACTGTCTCTCTTCAGCTTGTCGCTGCTGTTGCTTTCCGAGCTGACCTTCTCTGCTGCGCCGTAGAAACAAAGCACATTAGATGTCAGCTCGCAGCAATTACAAAAGAATTTAAAAAGTGACATGGATATCAAGGAAAGTAATTTCGATGTGGTAAATATCATATTCTCACCAGGATAGCTGTTAGCTTGTTTGTCTGTGCTGGTCGAACTGTCTGATGTCTTCTTGGCTGCAGGCTTGGTTCTGCTCCGGACTTTGTTGAAATTTCCTTGTAGGATCCACTCATGCTGTAACCCCTCATCAGGAGTCATGCGCTTACTTGGATCCCAGCTGAGAAGCGCAGACAGTTTGAATTTAGATGAATTCATTTATGTGTACAAGTAATAGTCATGATCTACCAGCTCAAGTCAGAGGAAGCAAAATGTAATTGTGGTCGATTAAGAAAGACAAAGAAAAGAATCATAATGTGTCCTATGAACAAATAAGCAGAAGTGTACCTGAGGCAGCGTTTGATGAAGTCTAAGAAGACAGCATCATTCGTTTTCAGCACAGCTGAAAGCTCTTTGGAACTCGGTCTCCGTTTCTTCCCCTTGCTGTTAGTGATATTTCTTGGGTTTCCTTTAGAGTCTGCACAGATAATACCACACAGACTTACCAGAGTTATCACTATCTCTGAAAAGTTCTAAAAACACATACATAAAATAAAACATATAAATGATTATAAATTATTAGAATCTCACCAAAGAACAACCTCCTTCTCGATGCTGACTGAACAAAATCATTTGGAGGCATTCCAAGGACCTATCAGGTCAAATATCACAATAAGAAGGAAGCAATTACACTTGCAAAGCGTGAACAGTAATCTCTGTATACAGAACAGGTTATTTCCTTGTCATACCTCCATTATGCAAGCTATCTGCTCCACTTCACTCTCTCCAGGGAAGAGAGGATAGCCTGTGTAAAGCTCAGCTAGGATGCAGCCCAGGCTCCACATATCAATGGCCATGCTGTAAGGGTGACCCAGGATGACCTCTGGAGAGCGGTAGAAGCGACTCTGGATATATGTGTACACTAAAAGAGGGGAATGAGTAGGGAAACGAGAACATTTCTGTCACCTCCCTAGCTTGATATTACTTAATTGTACATGTGCATCAAACCACTTCTGCCTTCTTACCTCTTTGTTGTTCATAGCAGCTTGAGCCAAAGTCGACCACCTTGATGTTGCCTGGCCCTCTTTGAGAGAGAAGGATGTTCTCCTGTTGAAAAGAAGAAGCAAACTGTCAAAAAAAACTCGCCAATTTCTATAGTACCAGTGCAATACTCTGATGCACCACAAGGTGGAGCACAATCTGCAAAATTGTTCTGAGTAATCCTTGCAAAGCAATCATCAACAGCAGTACAGTTTTGATTGCTTCACTACGTTTCAATCAGTCGAATATTATTTTTTTATCTTATGATGCAGGTCAGTACCGGTTTGAGGTCGCAGTGGATTATCTTCTCCCTGTGCAGCATCTGCAGGCACCTCAGAAGTGCATGAGCGAAACGCCGGATAAGGGCGAGGCTGAAGCCCTGGAAGTTGTTTTTTTTAATGAGCTCGTACAAGTTCACCCTAGATGAAGGAAGAACGTGTGACGTTTGGTTATTTCATCAAGATGACGACACATAAAGAAGCTTCGTTTAGCTGAACGTTTTTATGAAAATACTTTGTCCATGTCCAAGTGTACTCAATGTGGATTCACTTATAAAAAGATGCTCCTCAAATAAACCCCCTGAAAAAGAAGGCTGCTCATTTTGATGTCACTTGACACCTACAATAAAACATGCACTGAGTCTTGAGCGCTTACTTGGAAATAATCTGCGATTGTGCCTCCATTCATAGGAAGACCGATACAAAAACTTTATCCCCCTGCTATTTCTGAGCATGAATTTCTTTAGACTGTGTAACCAGATCCTTCACACATGAAGCAAGAAGGGGTAAGAGATAGGGCCCCAATCAAGGCCTTAACTAAAGGATTTGGTGACAGTAATGTTAGACAAGGTAGCAGCTCGAGACGTCCCGTAAAGGTCATTGAGCCACAGTGACACACAAAGTTCTCTCTCCTCAAATAGATATCAGTAGTGACCCATACTAAAACATGGTTGGCTGGAGGTACACAGGTAGTCAATTTACTCCTAATTGATTGCAGTTACTTAGAAGTAAAGACCAGAGACATGCGAGAACTGCCTTTGATAAGCTACACTGTCTTCACACCGTGCTATTGTACCTGGGAAGGGTGACTGACGGCGGATCCCCTCGATTAAACGCTTCATTATTTAGTGTGTTTACATTCCTGCTTTCTGAATGTAGGTAACATACTAACCCCAGAAGCTCAAAGGAGATGCAAAGGTGATTTCGGAAGTAGAAGTACTCCTTCATGTGGATGACGTTGTGGAGGTTGTCTTTGTCTTTCCTCTTTATCACATCCAAGATCTTCAGCTCCACAAGAGCCTGGTGATGAAACCTACAGACAAATTTACAGCTGACACTTAAATTCACACCAAGAGTGATTTGATTCATTACTCATTTCTATATTTTAATAATACAAGTGCAGAATAAAGATATTCTTTTCTATAAAGGGAGAAGAGTCATTAAATAAATGAGGATCTGTATTTGTACAAGCTTTATTTCTCTGATTGAGATGCTTTTCAGCACAAAAGCCTCCTGATATCTCTGGATATTTCTTTATACCCACTGCAGAGAAATCAGATCTAAGATAGCCATCTGACACAGCTTAAAGTTCTTCTGTGCCAGGTTGCACCTATTTTGTTTTCTGCATTATTGAAGTTGCGGTAGGACCCAATGGCTCGTGCATCTAACCTACAGGACTCTGGCACCGCAGCCACTGTGATCCTCAGTTAAGAAGGACAGGTAAGATAATACCATTGGGGTGCCGACTTCTACCATGCTAAATCAGGTCTCTGCTATTTGGCAGTGTCCTGAAGTGTAAAGTGATCAGGTTGCAGACATGTGGGGGAAAAAAACTCACAACGGGGCATGAGATCTCAAATGACTGACAAAAGTTAACTTCTTCAATGTCACAAATAACTTATTCCATAGAGCAGTGATTCCCACCCAGAGGTAGCCCAGCGACCACGGGCCAGTTGTACCTGGACAGGCAATGTGACAAAACCCGAATACAATTTAATTTAGAATTGAGTAGACGTAGACAGGCTTTAGCAGGAAAGATAACAACTACTTGAAAGTAAGTAGTAGAAATTTGAAGTAATAAAAGTATATTAAAAGCTACAACTGGCAAGCAATTGAGGCAGGTAGATAAGCAGTTAAAATTATTAGGCGGTCTGTCACAGGGAGTCAGTGAACAAAAACTACATTGCCAAAAGTATTCAGTCATCCATCCATATTATTTCATTCAGGTGTTCCAATCACCTTCGTGGCCACAGGTATAAAATCAAGCACCGAGGCACACAGACTGCTTCAGGAGCTCAGTGAATTCCAGCGTGGATTGCATCGGTGCAACAAGTCCAGTCGTGAAATTTCCACAACTATTCCACAATTGACTGAGTGGTATTATAACAAGGTGGGAGTGATTGGGAACGTCAGCAACCCGCATAAAATTGCAGACCTTCAGATCAGCTCAAGAACAGTGTGTAGAGAGCTTCATGGAAATTGTTTCCATGGCCAAGCAACTGCATCCAAGCCTCACATCACCAGGTCTAATGCAAAGCTTGGATGCAGTGGTGTAAAACACGCCGAAACTGGATGCTAGCCGTGGAGAGGTTTACTCTGGAGTGACAAATCGCACTTGTCCGTCCGATGGACAAGACTGGTTTGGACGGAACGTATTTGTCTGCCTGGTTTGTGCCGAGCATAAAGTCTGGTGGAGGGGGGATTGTGCTGTGTGGTTGTTTTTCAGGAGTTTAGGCCATTAGTTCCAGTGAAAGAAACTCTTAATGCTTCAGCATACCAAGATACTTCGGGCAATTTCATGCTCCCAACTTTGGGAGAACAGTTGGGGATGGCCCTTCGTCTTCCAACATGACTGTGCACCAGTGTACAAAGCAAGGTCCTAAGAACATGGGTGAGTGAGTAGCCCTATGGATTAAGAATGGGATTTCACTCAAGTTCATATGCATGTTAAGGCAGATGAGCAAATACTTTTGGCAGCTAGTGTAGCTGAATATGAATAGCTGATACCAGAGTAGGTACTAAAAGTAGTGCACTGGTGGGTGAAATATTAAGCTAATAGTTGAGACTAAATAATTCAGACATAGACCAAATTTAGTTTGGAATGAGTTCAGTGGGGGTTTAATGTCCATCTGACAGCGGTGTGAGGGCAAGTCCAAGGATAAAGGTCGGGAGCTGTAAAGCTTTACTTCACTTGCAATTTTAAGACAAGAAGTATATGAAGATAGGAAGTGTTTCTTTTTTTTTTTTTTAAAATACAAATTTCAGGATCTTTTTTGATTCTTTAGTGAATTGATCACAAACAAAAAGAAAAAAATTAATCATATTACATTTTCCTGTCATTTCTCATACCTTTTCTTATTGCGGATTATCTTTATGGCTACAAGTTCATTGTTCTTGTGATCCAGGCATTTTAGGACCTGCCCGAAGGAGCCTTTCCCGATCACTTCCAGCACTTCGAACCTGTAGGCAATGTGGTCATGCAACACCTGAAAGAGCAAGAGAGAGGAGAAGTGAGGATGTGAGACTACTGTGCACTTTGTCCTTGCACTAAAACAAATCTTTATATCACAGAAAAAGTAAATGATGTAAAGTAATATCATGATTTACTAACATAACATTATATTAACTTGGTGATATTAGTCTTAGAATACAGGCAGCATTCTCTTCTTTGTACACATCAGCCACAGTGGCTTTCCTGCAACTGTCAGTCAGGGCTGTAACAGTGAGATGAGCCTCAACAGACATATGAGAGTCTAAATAACGGTCAGTCACTCAGCCTTTAACAGCTCATTCATTGCATATTGTCTATTGACACACAACTGTCCATCGCGTGTCTGATTTATACATGGTCAGATTGAACGGTGGAGCGGTGCCCACAGCTGCTGGAGGTCGTTTGGCCACATACTGTTTTCATTGGCCAGCTTGTTGGTGCATAAATGAATGGCACAAATGTCTTTTACATAACGACTACTACTGTTGCATACTACATGTGGGTTCTCTATCATATCGAGACTATCTCTCCACTTGTACGGAGTGGAGAGATAGTCTCTCACTCAGAGAACCACGGTTACAATGTAACCGCACGATATGTGGATGTGCTTGTGAATGGAGTCACTTAAACTCTTGACAAACTGACCCAACCTGATGGTGACCTCATCATAATTAATATTTCTTTCCTTTTCTATTTCAAAGAAACTTCTAGAAACTACACTCAGGTGTTGACTGCACCTTTTGTTAGATGCTACCATATGATTTCTTCATTAGGCCTGTTTATTTAATCTAACTGTCAGTCTTTGCTGTGTTAGGTCAAAAATATAAGTTCCTGCAGGCTGCAAAACCTCGGCATCAACACAGATGAAGCCTGATGGTTATAATCCAGTAAAACTCTAATGCTTGCTCTGAAACATTACCCTGATGTAGCTTCCGTGTTCATCATCGTATCCTGAGTTCTGTGGAGCTCCTTGGGAACCCTCGATTTTCTGGGAACCCAAACCAAGGAACCAGATCTCAGAATAATCCATGATTTCTTCCTTTTCAAACTCTGTCAGCCGATCCTGGAAGTTCTTCAATGCTTCTGCAACAGGAAGCATGAGGAGGAAGACAGGATGAGTCAGTATCACGTTGATCTGCCAAATGCAGAGGATTCTGAAATATCGCCTTCCAATGCCAGCATGCTATTTTCATTCCATCAAGGCAATGAAAAATATTAGTTACGTGTTTTTGTTGGAACACCCACAATATATTCAAAATATGAAATAACGTTTCCTTTATGATTCACTTGTGTTGTATTCTGGTTGACACCAACATACCTACAGGTGACATGGGTAACCTTTGACCCTCGTATGCTTTCTCTTTCTCCAGCTTGTTGATGAAAATCCTGCTGTTGCGAGACACTGCCACTTTATCGACTGTTGTACCAAACCGTGTGGAGAACTGCTGAGCGGGCTTTGGCCTCTCATCCTGTTAAGTAACACATAAAAGAGTCTTTTAGCATTTTGGGAGATGAATAGTAATGAAGGATCCTCATTACGTTTTCACAGTGATTCTAAAACTACAGCGCCATTTCTCAGCTTTGAGTTAAATAAACTAGCTGACGGCTTCTACTTCACCATGTTATGGATGCCTAGTCAATAACAGCCTTACCGATTGTGTCTGATAGTTGTTTGGACCCCCTTTGTTGGCAATTTGGGGCAAGATGCTGTCTGACTGCTGCTGCTGGTTTTTGGCATTGCTAACCATCACCTGGACCACTGGTGGCTCGAGCTGAGGCAGAGTCCCCACACTGGAATTGAACTTCTGTGATTCAGATAAATTGTTATAGAAGTGTATTTGGTAAGTGCATTCAAGACAAAAAGGTGAAACATAAATGGAATAAGAGTTAGAAAAGAAAAGCAAAGTTTTATCAGATCAGTTTACCAAACTCGTAAAGCTTGATTTTTGAAGAAAGTGAAAAATAAAATAAAACATAATAACAAAATTATTATAAAATAGGCAATTTAGGTCAACAAACAAGCTAGCTCTGGGACCTCTAAAATGATATTTCTCTACACATTCTACATTTTCATATGACAGAATGAAACACACAGGCAACTAAACAGACAGCTGTAAGAAGACGACAAATTAATTGGATGAAAATATGGCTGCAAGTGTGATATCCAAATATTCATTTTAAATGCTTGTTGCAGCGCCTTTCATTTTTTTCATGAGAATGTGCAAACTGCACCTCATCTGTTTTGCTTCATCGTCCCTTCATGCATTTTGTCGGTGGAGGCTTGGGTGACCGGGACCTCCAGCTGATAGCGTCTGGAATTACCGGTCAGGGTGAAAGAAAAATGGGGGACAAAGACCTGTGAGTCTGCGCTCTGACAGACTCTGTCAGTGGTGGCTTTGTAGGAGGGTGAGGTGCACTGACCTGCTTTTCTTAGGCTGCCACCCTGATTGCTTCGAGAGCATGATTACATGTGTCACTGCCTTGCAAGGCTCAATCCTGGCAGTGATGGTGCAAAATTAGACATCTGTGCTTTGCCAAGTCCTCTTGAGAACATCCTGCAGAACCGTCTGTGACAACAGGGTTTTTTTTCTCACGTTTTTATGTATTGAACTCAGATGTCACGGAAAACAGAGATTCCCTACATCCATAGTGATACTGCATCCCCTTTAGCAATGGATGGATGAAAATTAAACTCTTACATATTAATTATTGATAGCATTCCATAAAAAAGCACTTTCATAAATTCTGATATTTCATCTCACGTGTTAAGAGCTGCTGCAAGATCTGCCAACTTGGTTATGACGCATAGAGATAAGCTAAATATAGTCACAAGCACCTGCCACAACAGGCAAAGGAAGCAAACACAGTTACATGCCTGAACGTAACTGGGGGGCCATGTTGTTTAAATAACGCACACACACACATATATATATATTTAAAAGAGATGAAAGTAGTGGCTGTAGTTTATCTTTTTCTTTGTTTGTCTTGTAGAAATTGTTAGAGTAGGTCAGACACAGCACATTAGTTTGAATGCAAAAAGAAAAGGTTGGCATCAGTGGAGGATAGACTTGGCCAAAGAACATGTTCTGGTCAGCTGTTAAGCATCATTCGGTGGGAAAGCACTGACCTGTGAGCAGGGCCGATTTGTTCCAATACGGTTGCCTTCTGCTGGGAGCCTGTGAGGGTGAGGAAAGGCCTCTGGTCGTGATGTCTGTGGGAGGAATGACAATGATTCATAAAATGCCCTACACAAAAAGTGAGAAATAGCTGCCTTTTATTCCAAACAAGCTGGAAATAAAATAGATACAATGGGTAACCACATTTTTCTCCTGCAGTGACTTATTTTTGCAGCGTGATGCAATTGGACAACGTGTCCAAGTCAAATAAAGGAATCCCTTTACACCAAAAAAGACAGATTAAAGCAGGCATGTAAGATAATAATTAAGTGTCTACTTGTGCTGGATTCCCCAGTCTCTTCAGAAACACACAGCCTCTAGGCAGCTGAGCGGGGCTGAAACCAGACGAGCTAAAATAATGCACTGTGATCCTAAAATAGATCACATCTGCAAAAACCCAGCAACACCAAGCCTCTCACTTTAAATTTCCCTTTGTGCATAGTTTGTGTAAGCATGTGCTCATGTGCACGTCCATGTGCTCTGCAGTAGGTGTGCACGTGCTTCCGAGCCAGTCCTCACAGGAGAATCGTTGGACTGAATGCATTACAGGGAAGCAATAAACAGTGTTCTAAAAAAGTACCACACACGTTTGGGATGATTCTGTGTGCGTCGCTTCATCACCAAGCCAGCTTACACGTGCCTTATTAATCAGCGGTTGAGCTCACAACTGTGTCGAATGACACCATATGGGTGAAATAAAGCTTAGCTTGATACGGGGATATGTGTTAGACTCACTCCATCAGCCTGGCAGAAAGGACGAGGGCGAGACAGGCCAGGTTGGGTTGTTGTCTGCAGGTGCTAGATGGAAAACAGCTTCCAGATCACAATCTTAATCTGTATCATTGACTGAGGAGCAAATGCAACATCAAGTCAGCGTCACCACAGAACTGTCTACAGAGTGAAGAAGGTGAATTAACCCAACTAGCTGATTCGACTTTTTGTTAAAGCTTAACTGGATACAGGCGCTCTCTGGGTTCTCCCTTTACATTAAAGTCAATACAGTTCTTCAGGTTAACACTGACAAGGAGTAGGGTACAATAATGTGGTCATGTTACAATGTTGTGAGTGAGTGACAGCTGGAGCCATGTAGGTCACTGTGACAGGTTGACTTCTTAAACATCACCTGTACAGGTGTGCTGTAAGCCTGGCTAATGAGTACTGAGCCAGTGGAAACCCAGTGACATCACAATAAGGCAAATGTGACCCGTGACCTTTTATTCCACTGTTATAGATGCATATACATCAGCTGACACTGAATAAGTAAATGAGCACATTTTGTTTTCACTTTTTTTTCTTAAAAACAATAAATTGAATTCTGTTTTTGGATGAACTGTAACACTGTAAGACTTGGACAAACTTTTATTGTACATGCAATAAACGTGTGCTCCCTTTGCCCATGTAAATCCATAATCCATTAACACGAAGGTCGGAGGGACCATATACAAAAAGGATATTTGCTCTCATCCCAAATAAACAATGGACCTACAATCAAGACAGCAAAAGCCATGCCTTTATTGATGTGGTTAAGTCTTAGCTGGATGTAGGATCATCTCGACAGGTGTATGAGAGCAGGTTGACCTTAAAACCGTCCACCATTAGGGTCAACTGGTTAAAGGGTTAAAGCAAAGCAATAAAACCAGGAGCCATTGAGGTAAACACCAACAAACTAAAACCTGCTGCTCATGAACACTGTCATCTGTCAGACATGTCTAATCATGCTCTCCATTTATTTTGTATTGTACATCGCATGCTGAATGTGACAACAAGGAAAAGGATGGATGTAAAGTGGTGGTAAATAGTCATCAAACCATGTGATCACAAATAGTGCTAGTCCTTAGTTTTAGACATCATTTGTAAAAAGGAATTTTGCTTTTTTTCACTCATGCAGGAAAAAAAAAGGCTACAATTCTTTAAAGTGCCAAAAACAGCAAAGGTTAAATTTATGTCAGTTCCCATGTAAGGTGTGAAAAATATACCAGAACACATATAGACTTACAGAATCTGTCAGCACAACAAACACTGAAGTAAGTAGGCTAAACAACGACTGAAATAGAAATGGATCAGATTTTTCATCATAACTTGGCATGCACTCAGGGGAAAGGGAGTGGACTGCGAAATAAGCACTCAAGTAGGATAGCTTATGAAAGAGAAATGGAAATCATTTCAAAGTTACGTTTAATATTCTTGGAATGAGTTTTTTAAAAAGTGAATACAATAAAAATGGTAGATTTTTACTATAGTTTCATTATAAAAGTTTACCTGTTAGAGGTCTGTCCTACAATTATCAGGGATGTTAGCCCTGTGTCAGAGCAAAAGTAATCTAAAAATGAAGATAACACATGCTCTGGCACTGGTGCCAGTGGAGATAAAGCAGTGATAATATTAATATTCATAGAGCATATTCATATTGTCTGTATCATAACAATATAACACAGACAACATTATGATCCCATAAAATAATCCCAGGAAACTTTTATGAGTGTCGTCAATTTGTTTTTGTAATTTTCCGATAAACTGCCTGTAAACTGGAATATTGATCCCTATTCGATTAATGAGAACTTCCTGCTTTGCTACCAGACAGTCAGTCTAGTATCCAGCGAACAAACAACTCCTCACCTTGTTATTTATTTCTGGCAGCATGCTGTGTTATCAGCCTTGACAATCCAAAAACAAAGGAGAAATTACGAAATCCAAGTCATTATATCCAACTCTGTCCGTCCAACCTCAAAAACAAGGCGCACTTTCCAGAAGTCCAACTTCGTGATAAACACTGAATCAACACTGATGAGGAAAATCCCGATGACTGATCAGATTCCCGCAACCCAAAGCTGCCGTACTCCCGGTTTTACGCGCACACGGTAAATGCACTGTCGTCAGAGAGGAGATTAGCCCGCGAGACAAGCTGTTGTGCCGTGACGCGTTCTGCTAAGACACCGGAGGAGCCACCTGTTCAGGTTTCTGCCGCTGACAGCTGGGGCTGTCCCGATATAGATTTGTTGGTTTTTTTTATCCGTTTGCTGTCGTCCACCTACACCATGCGGTGTGACTGATGCGCTCTCCAACACCAACGCTGTGCAGCGAGGGCTACACCAACGCACGCACGTACTGGCCACAATGCTTGAGCTCACTTCAGGTACTGTAAATGTTTTGTAGACTATTTTCAAAGTGAGGTCCAGAAACCTCTGCGCTGTCGAAAGCGCGCAAGTAACGCACGGTCTCACCGTCGTTCTTCAAGATGAGTCTTCATCTTTAAGTGACACGCACACGCGCGATGTATTTTCCACAGTAGCTACATTCAGATAAATCCAGCAGGTTTACTGGATTAAAACTTTTCTTATTCCTTTTGTGTCTTTCTGCCAACATTAATTAAAATTAAGCAGTTCTGCTAAAATCTGCCATGTCCTGTGCCATTTGTGTGTGCACTGCAGGGTCAAGTACTTGATAAAAATGAACTAAAATCTCAGCTCCTTGAGCAAGATACTAAACCTCAAATTGCTCTCTGATTATCATAGTGTGAATGATAGATACGAAGCAATTAGGCTTGGGTGAATGAGTGGAGCTGTACCAAGCCCTTTTAGTGTTCAAGTAGAGCAGAAAAGTGCTATATAAGAAGTATTCTATAAAACAGAATGTCAAAACAGTGATTAATGCACTCAACGCATTTCAACACATTTGTTAGCCTTAGCACACTTTAAAAGAACTTCATAAAACTAGGGCTGCCACGATTAGTCGACTAGTCACGCTTACGTCGACTATCAAAATCGTCGAC